TGAACGCTACAGTTTAGCAACGATGTGGTTCATATAACTTTTGAGCCATTTCTGCTGTCAACAAGGAGATGGTGAATTGTCTCTCGCTTCATCATTCCTCTTTAATTTTTCCTTATCTCTTTATCTTCTCAAAACCTAGTTTATGTTGAAACTCATTTTTAAACATTGCGCAAATCTTTTATGGATTAGTTCTAGCTCTTGAAGTTATTGACCGTCCCCAGCAATTAAAATCTTTTCAAAGTAACAAATGTACTGTAAGCGCAAAATTGTTTATTGTTTTCAAAATGATGAAAAATAGGTGTTTTTGAATGACTTCAAAGTGGATCAAAACATTCTTCGTCCTCCGTTTATGCTTTGCCAAGGCCTCTCTTGTAGTTCTGCATTTTCAACTACAACAAGTCATAGAGGCACTTCTCTTGGCTTATTGGATGGTAGATGTACTCACGTATTCCGCCATGAACCATTTCCATTTCCTCTATTTCACTTGGGCTGGTGTCCACCATAGCCTAAGGTATGGAACTTTTTTAGTTACTTAATGATACATAACACTGTTACTGTTGCCGACTTAGTTGGAAATAGTCTGCATTGCCAAACTAATATCCGAGCAATGTGTGAATAATGAAAGAGCCACCAAAGTTCAAAGTCCCTTATTTTTTATTATTATGTTACTATATATTCTTTAAAGCCAAAACTTTCCAAATCTTTGCTGTCATAGACATGATAACTACTGAATGGTTCTAAAAGCTCTTCAGTTTTTTGTGCAATTACTGACGTTATAATGTTGTAGTGTTACAATCAATGAAAAAACAAAATTTTTTCGAAATCGTGGATCTCCCGCTATCAGAGAGATACATCTCCGCTCTAGTTGATTCCATTCATGAATGAACCTTTAAAGTTAACATTATGTGATTTTACAAAGTGTTAAGTTAAGATAAACTACAGCAGAATCAAGATGTTCTGATGAAGACGGGGATGGATTAGGAAGAGTACTGTCTGAGCTGTTTACCGAACTAACAGCCTTGCAAGTTTCATATAGAATTATTTTTAGAAAATGTTTTTCCTTATTCCCTAATCCCAAAACCAATCGCCAAACAATGTTCTTATCTTATATTCTGAGAAGTAGAACTTCATGTCAGCCGTACTTCGGCGGTGCTCAGGATAGCACTAAGCAGTTCAAGGCACTCGTTAGCTCTCAGCAATGATGGTTGTTCATGATTGGAGTGATTGGCACTGTAGAAGTACTTTGCCGGATTGTCGGAGCTGAGCCGAGCTTGACATAGTAGGTTATGAGTTAATGCTCTTCAGCCATTAAACTGTCCAAAACATGGTTGCAATTCATGTTTGAATGCTAAAATACTATTTTTGAAGGCCATCTTTAGCAGATTGTTTATAAAGATTTTCTCAGCTTTCCAGAATATCTTGAATACTGCTGGGAAGGACATTACTTGCTCATTTAAAAGGAATACAGAATTTCGCATGTGAATAGGAGAGATCATGAGAAGGAACATCTCTAAATTGACTTAATCATAGGTACTGATCCTTAATAACGTTTTAGGGTGCAACCAGTTGTATGGCGTCACTCTGAAGAGCAGAACAAATAGTTTAGTTGCGGAGAAGATGTCAAAGAATTGATTCAATCACTTCAGCATGATGCACTAAAACCAGTAAAAGCATTACTGTTGCAATAGTTACAGGTACTACCTTGATTTCCCATGCAATTGCTTGAGACAGTTGTTCTGCAGGTACATTCCTGGGCAATTGTATGCTAAAATTTAATAATTTTATACTTTGCAACGACATACGTATGAGGAAATTATATTGTTAAATTGGTAATAATCAACAATGAAGCGCGTAATGTGTAAATCATTGAGTAAGCCTGTACACTGTTGAGTTGGGCGAGAACCAAACGTACCGTCCCAAAAGTCCAGGATTTCGCTTATCCTTGTTCAACGTCACTTCGGCACATCGTGGAGGTGGTGGCGGTCTTGTACCTTTCTAATTTTAATGTTAGTTTTAAGAATTTCTGATAAACGATTGCCTACAAATTCTCTGAAGATTGAGCTTCAAACACTAGAAAATATGACCTTAATTGTAATGAAGGCCTCTTTGTTTTTCCGGTCAAATTTTGTGTTACCAGGAGG